CTCCCAGTCCCGGAACAATAACTGGTACAGAGCCACGTGTGTGCTGCCCGCGCTGGAGGCGGGCTGTGCTCAGCCGAGAGCATCGCCTGCACTGGGCTGGGGCGAAACAGCAGCGGCAGGATGTCTGTGCCAGGCTGAGAGTGCTCCAGAGTCTGCTCAAACTGGGGAACAGCTGGGAGAGAAGAGTCCGGCAATAGCCAAAGGTGAAATTTGGCACTAGATAGGAGTCTGTATAACCAGGGCACTATCAACATCAGTGGAACAGGATGTAACTGGTCAGGAACACCTTTTGTCAACTCAAAACTGTGATATCACAGGACCAGGATCAGCAATCTGCTGCAGACATTCCTCCTGACAACACAGGCTGTATTGTTTTAAATCTATCGTCATGTCAGTTTGAGCATATTTGCTGTTATGTCACTATCTCTATGCTGATAAATAATGGTGGGTGTCAGAAATAAGAAAGTTCTTTCACTTAAAGGTCTGCCTCGGTTTTGAAAAAGTTTTTTTGCATTTAATTATGTTTCATGGGTTAACCCCAGCTGGCAACTTGGCCCCACACAGCTGCTTGCTCACTCACTCCTTGGTGCAGAGGAGGGGCACAGAGTCAGAAGAGTAAGTGAGAAAACTCATGGATTGAGATAAGGACAGTTAAACAGGTAAGGCAAAAGCCATGCACACAAACAAAGCAAAACAAGGAATTAATTCTCGACTTTCCATTGGCAGTCAGGTGTTCAGCTCTGTCCGGAATGTGGGGCTCCTAAGTTACTTTGGAAGACAAATGCCATCACTCCAACCATTCCTCCTTTTTTTCTTCCTCCAGCTTAATGCGTTGAGCTTTGTCATCATATGGTCTGGGATGTCCCTGTGGGCGGTTGGGGTCAGCTGTCTCAGCTGTGTCCCCTCCCAGCTCCTTGTGCACCCCCAGCCCCCTTGCTGGTGGGGTGGGGTGAAAAGGAGAAGAGGCCTTGGCTTTGTGTAAACCCTGCTGAGGGATAACAAAAACACCCCTATATTAAACACTGTTTTCAGCACAAATCCAAAACACAGCCACATAATAGCTACTATGAAGAAAATTAACTCTATCCCAGTCAAAACCAGCACAGTATGTTAATTCAGTGTTTGACTGCAACTTCATTTGCTACAAGTATTTTCTGTCTGAACTGCATATATGTAAATTTATTCTGAGTTCTTCATTCTATACTTGTTTTACCCAATGCTAGTAATTGATGGAGTACAGAATGTTTCTTCACATGATCTAGCAGAATACATGCTAGCTGAGTGTTTTATATATGTAAAAGCTGTAAAATACCATCCATATTCTTACTCTTGTTCTTAGAATTCTTTGTTGATATAATATATTGCGTAGGATTTTAAAAGTCTTTGCGTGATGAATGGCTGCAGCATGTCATGGACACACAGTAACTTGCTCCAGAGTTTCCACTTGATTTCCTTCACTGTGGTGGGAGAGGGTGAGATTTAAGGTATTCATACAGTGAACTGTGGAAGGCTTGTTGTCTGATTAGTAAACATTTGAGATTCCACCTAGAACATGACAGTTGAAGTGCAATTGCTTTAAGTGCAGTGTAGTTCTCTGCAGGCAGCTCGTACTTGGCACAGAATAAAGACTGAACGCTGTATAAATTTTCAGAAAATTGTGCTGACCAATCTGAAGTTAAAGGCTTGACAAATAGCTCTTTCATTTGGCTTCCAAAAATAAGCTGTAAAGTTCTGCCCAGAGCAGCTTTAAATGCAAGTGTTCAGAGACCCAGAAAGGAGACAGTGCCTGCCTTCCAGATATACACCAGTGGCTCCTTTCTCAGGGTAACACTGGCTGTTCTCTGATGCAAGCAGCCCAACGCCATGTCTTCCCCCATAAGTTCTGTTGATCACACCAGTACAGCCTCCATTCAGTAGCTAGGCAAAAAACATGTTGGACAACATGTGCAGACCCAAATTGCACTAGACTGTGCTGGTCAGAGTTATTTTGATGGATCTTCTAAGAATGAAGTTAGATTGGAAGTGATATAGCAGTGGGAGACTGTTTCTTTTTAACTGCAGGTTTATTCTCAGATGCAGACAGTGGCTTGTTCTGCAAACTGTTCTCTGCAGAGCCTCAGTTTCTACTCATTTGTTTGAGTATTGAAAACAGTAACATTCAGGAGGCAGGCAGAACATTGTCCTGCTGAGGTTTTGGGTCTTTTTTCACACACTGAAAAATAAGATGTTGTTAAAGGTTCCATACTTGTAGCATATAAAGACAGATAGATGCATTAACTGATTTTTTTTCACAATTTCAGCATTTTCAATGTCATTAAATACACTGATTCCTTACAGAGGCATACAGCACACAGAACTAGGTAGCCAAGAAGTGACAACTCAGGACTGATATGAATTACCTCGGCTGTGGGCATATACTTCTTTTAGCTGGCAGCCCAGTGTATACACAGTCTAGTAGCTCATTTAGCTCAGTTTTTCTGTAGGCAAGTCTGCAAAAAAATAAAACCAGTTTGTAAACAGACAATGAAATGATGGGTTGGATAACAGCCAGAGTAAATTGGTATAGTTCTGGATGCACATTAATCCAAATTCTATGTGACAGTGAATTGAATAGTTCTACTGCTGTCAATGAAAGGCCAATAGAAAAAAGTTAGCTTAGTCTCTCCCTTGGTTAGGCCCTGAGGGGTATGAAGTGCACAATGAACTGAAATGGGTTAGATTCTAATTTGTTTGATAATTACTTTCCCATGAGTACTTCTCCGTATTGACACTGTCCAGCCAAAAAAATGTTACAAAGCAGTGACATCACCAAGAAATTCTTTTGGCATGTCAAAATTACACTCACATCTTTGATAGATCATTGTGATTTTGCCATCACAGGTTTTCCAGTTGTCTTTTTGGGGGGTTATTTCTCTCCTTTTTTCCCAATTGTTCTTCATTCTTGTTTACTGCTGTAATGTTTCAGTATGGACCTTTACCACTTGGAGAACAAGTACATCTGAAATCTGTCCAAATCCAGTAAGACTCCATTAGTGTCATTACAAAATATTTGCTGCTTCTCACTTCTCCCCGGAGGGTCCTTTGGGGTGACAGCTCTGTACTACCTTGCCGATGTCCTCATCTTATGGAATATATTTAATTGTAGTGGCACCTTTACAGTTTGGCTTTAACTTATTTAGTGATTGAGATTTCATTGGAGCAATGAAAATATCCAGTACTTCAATCTGCTGCATTTCTTTGGCTTTATTTAAATTTCTAAGTATTTGCAATTGAAATCAGAGTTGTGTTCTACTTGGCCTGTTTTTTCTCAAGTATTCAGTTTCTAAAAGAAACAGCTGTGGCTGCAGAGCCAAATGTGTAATGACTGGAGCTCAGAATGAGGAAAAATAAATTCCTTTCCTCATAAATAATTTATACTTCACCACTTTAGTGTAATAAATAGGTTCATCAGCATTCTGCTTGGAATGACAAAAGGCCTAATCTCACTTCAGTGTATTTCACATTTACCATGGTGCTTTCCACCTGAACAGTACTATTCTTAAAACTGTTCTTTTTGCTTACCTTATAACTAGTGAAGTGATTTAGTAGCAGATCATAAAAATTTCTCTTTAAGAAATCCCTGCTGATTTCTCTTTGTTGGAGTCACTAGGAAAGGGGTATCCATCCTTTTAGTCATTGATCCCAAGGTAAAATATAAAGTTGCTGCTGATAAAATCTGCATCTGGCAGCCTATGGATGAACACTGACAAGGGCAGAGCAACCTGGCCTCTTCTGCTGGCTGGCTCTGATCCACTGCCTGTGTACAAAGTCAGTGTAGTGTTGGGCTTTTGCATCTAGTGCATAGGGCAAAAGCAACACAATTCTCTGGAAAGCAATGACACTGGAAATCATAGTGAAAAAATCCTTTGCTTCCATGGGATCTTTGAATACAACATTGATCTTAGCTTGGTATGCTGCATTGGTGAGTCTGACACTCATAATGCACAACTCACAATTTTGAAAGGGCTACCACTTTGAGGACTAGCACTGCTAGCTAAGCTTTAAAAATCTCCCTATGCTTCTCTATTGAAAAGAGAGATGATACAAAATATGGTTGTGAGGTGTCATAATCTCCTCAGGGAGAAAAACGGAAACAAAAGGGCACTTTAACAGAGAATGGTATAAAGAGTAGCTGGAAATAGAAGTCAGACAAATTCAAATTTAAAACTACATCTGCTTAATTGCTAGAACAAACCATGAAGAAATATGGTGAATCCTTCATTTTTCAGTGCTTTCCTGAGTACAACATGTCTTTATGGAAGAACTGCTTTGGTTCAGATTTAATCAAACTTTCTGGAAATACAGTACTCGCCTATGCATGTTCCCTGGAGCTGGCAGCAGTTGCTCAGTTTCTTCCAGCAGAGAAAGGAAAACCAGAATACTTTCCATAAGGAGAAATGTTGCTTTAGTTGAACACAAGCAGAAGTTGTTGGCCCCAATACCGGTGTAGCTAGGTGGAATGCAATGCCCTCAGAAGCTACAGTGAAAGAGACAGTAACAGTTAAGCATTACAAAATCTTGTTTCATAACTTGGATTGGAAAATACTCCTCTCTAGCTAATGTTTTGTTAACTTTTTCATGCACATTTCATTCTGAGATAAGTCTCTGCCCAAATCCTGGATCAATTTGCTAATATTTGAGTTGTTCAGATTACATTTCAAAATGCCTGTTGACACATATTTTGTAGGAGGTGTTTCACCAAATAGTCAATGGACAGAAGAGGACTGTTCTTCCTTTGTTGAATAAAGATCAGAAAGAGTGTAATCTAAGCACTGTTTCTGCCTACTGATTGCTGTAATGATAAAGATAACTTAAAATGTTTCACTATCATAAAGTGAACAGAAAAACTTGATAATGAAGGAGAGAATGTATTTCTTTCCCTTCATCGTACCTCTTCTATTGCTGTCTCCCCTAGACTGTATATACATGAGGTTACAGAGCTATATTCAAAACGAGTTTCTGGTTTTTTCCCCTATCAAAACTGGGATCTAGATTTCCCAATCCAAATTTTACTGAGACAATAAAGTTTGTTTGAGTCTGGCATTGATTTTAGTCAGATTTTGGGAACTCAACATTTCCAATAGCCACTTGGTCTTGTTACATAGGTGTATGTATAAGAACCCAAGTTTTGGGGCTATAACATAGATCTTTTTTGCCGAATTGATTTGTTTTTAAATGGGAAAAGGGAGGATTCTTTTTATATTAAGTTCTTTTCCTAACTTTAGAACAATTATTCTTGAAATTAGACAGTTAGATCTGGCAAAGGGCATGAATAAAAGAAACTCATTTTTTACCAATAAGTAGAAATTGTTCTAACGAATGCTGAGGTATGAAGAAACAAGGAACAGTTTCATTATTCTCTCCCCTCAAAAAGCCAACATACAAACCAACAACGAAAAAACATTAGGAAGAAAATCCTTTGCCTTCCTAAATGCATTTGCCAACAGAACTTCATGAGTTTGCCTTTCCATGCTATGCACTCTCTCATTTCCCTAAATGCATATCACATACACAGAGGCATGAACACACAAGCATATCCATGTAGATAACTACTTTTATAAAGCAACATGCTAGATACTCAAGTATTTAGAGGATTTGAATTCAAATTCTAACACACTGCCTAAGACACAGCTTCTAATAACTTGAACTTATGTAATTTTTTTTCCTTAGTAAGAAACACATGAAAGGCTGTGTGTGTGAGTCAAGCAAGATTACTTAATAGCCGCATACAACAGGAGGGAAAAGAAGATTTCCTATTTAGTAATGAAGTGATAAATTAGCTGTATAAAAAAGAGGTCCCATTATCCTCTCCCTAATTTGTAGTTAAGCAATATAAGGAATATTGCAGGGACAGGGAAAACTGTGTCCAGGTACATATTCCCAGCATTCTCTATATTAACTCACCAACAATAAATTCAAGAACACCCTAGGAAGGAGAAGTCAATGCTGTCAGCAGAGAGAGGAACCCAAATAATCTCTCCAGGAAATTTCTCAGCATCAGAGAAATCACAGCATCAGGTTAAAATCACACATTCTTCATCACCTCTAAGTTCTTTACAGCAATGAACAAACCAATCAGACTGTTTCAACCTGAGGTGGGTATTCTTCGAGGCTGACTGGGAGTTCTGCCCCACAGAAGGTCCTGTCAGCTGTCTGGGCTCCAGAGTGAAGGTCAGTGTCTTGCAGAGACGCTTAAAGGAAGCAGAATGCTGAATCATTCTCAGGGGAGCAACAAAATTGCCCACTCCAGCAGAGGACCAAACCTGCACAGTCTCCTCTGAGCTCAGGGAGATCTGGGCAGCCAAAGCTGCTCTTCGGACTCCTTGCCTGCTGCTTCCAAAAAAACTACTTGTGGTGTGCTCCTTTTCAATTTTGAACATGATTTTTTATATATTATATGCTTGATAATAGTCAGGTGGTTGAATTTTGTACAAAGGCCTCTCACCAAGATCACTGGTTCGGAAATTTCCTCTACAAGCCACATCAAGCCTTAGCGGGAATAAGGGAAGGAATTTAAGGTATGCTGGCACAGGAAGCAGAGAGTAGAGCTTCAGCCAGAAAGACCTTTAGAGAGAAAGGGGCTTTCATGAATACTTGACTACTTATTTGGGAAAGGGGTCATATTTTCTACAGGCTAGGATACATACTTGCCTAGATTTAGGCAAACTCTTTGGACAGTGCTTAGATATTACACAAAATAGGCGCTCAGAAATACTACAATAGAATGGAAAATGTATCTAACAATGGAACCACCTCTTCTCATCTAGAGTTTCAAGATGACAAAATTTCAAAGAGCAGAATATGAATTTGTAGCAGCAGTATAGGAAAGTACTTCTGAATTTTATAGTAAGAACCTGTAATTTTTCTGTGGTTAGAGCTAAGAAAACTCTGCTTTGACCAGAATCAAACATTTGTTGAAGGCAAAATTTCTTCTGCAAATGTAAAACTTGAGTTACTACACAATTCAACAGGACTGTAATTGAGGAAAGGTACCCTTATTTAAAAAACTATTTATAGCTTTAATAAAAGACTTAAGAGCGAGAGAGCACACAAGTAAATGAAGTGCATATCCCGTAGGAGGGAGAATTCATATTGAAAGAGAATGTATCCCTTTTACAGACAGAATGAGGTTATTAAATAGAAACATGAATGTATCAGGATGATGGAACCATCAACCTTTGAAATTGCTTTAGATATTAAAAAAGTGACAGTAACAAACTTGCAAATTATCAGATGTGATTTAATATGTTTAAGCCTTAATAACTGTAAAAGAAAAGCATTAATTAAAAATATAGTTCCCTTAAAAGCTTGATTAGTTTACTGTAGCAGAACTTCATTTGATGTGGCAATGAAATATCTACGATTTTAGAAGATCTCTTTAGGAAAATCAACTGATCCAAAGGAATCCAAGTTTAAAACTTCAGAGCTGAGGGTTAATGAAATTTTTAAACAAAGAAATATTTATTCCTGTGAACATTTCTTTTATAAATTATGTCTATATTATTACTAATTTTGAAATTGCATAATTACGTTTTTAAGAAGACAGTTATTTTTCATTAGCGGTCTGCCAATTTCCAGGATTTTTTCATTAATCCAACAGCCACACATAGGTCTGTTGTGCACTTTGGAGGATGGTGTGGGTGAACGACTCTGACAGTTTTTATATTAACTGTGGGTGTTTATATGCATATGTTAAAATGCTTCCTTCTCACTGTGGCATATTCCCTTTTGAGTAGTGACACAATCTGAATATGTTCTCAAAAGAAATGGAACTGACTATCTTCATAACCTGATCTTTCCCAGTGTGTCATGCTAGCAGTTTTGTTTTTCTGTTTGACTGCAGATGAAGATTATTTTCCAGTTTCGGGTTTAGAGAGAAAGCTATACTGAGAGGTGTAGCTCTGCTACACACATGCTTTTGAAATGGTCTTTCAATAAGTTTCTCTTATTGAAGGCAGGTTCTGCAGGCATAGGGGTGTCAATCCCACACGAGTAACACTGAGGAAGCGCTTGAGCTTCGCCACAATTGTGCCCCGACTCGCTAGGGACTCCACTGATCTTGGACCAGGACACTGACTCCTGGCTCCTCCTCAGATCTGCTCATCACCAGAATCCTGCCCTGCAGTCAGGACTCTGAGCTGCCCCCAGACCGCCCTGCTCCTGTCCTGGCTGACGAGGTCCTTGCCCCCCAGCCAGCCATATCACGCTTGGCTCCTGGTCCCTTTGGGGCCTGTTTCCTGCTGAAGGGTTAGGGAAACGCAGTCACAGCGTCTGTCAGGACATGGGACTGTATGATACCAATGCCTTCTCACAAGATCCATCCCCCTGTCACCCATCTCCCCACTGCCAGAACCCACGGTACAGAGAACAGCAGCAGGCTGATTGACTGTACTAGCGGAAGAGGAAGGCTTTAAGAAAAGATACTTACAAAGTGCAAAGAGAGCTGGGCATCATGGCTTGGAGTTGAAGGGAAATTACACTAGTGCTGCCCTAGAACTGACTAGGTTTCCCTGTGAGAAGGGGACAAAACCTCCCTTTACCTCACGTACCGAATGAAACACAAATGGAGGCTCACAGAGCTCTGGAAAATCTTAGGTTAAATCACTTAACCAGCCGCTAACACGGACAAGCACTTCTCGAATTACCTCGGTGAACAAACTGGGACAGTGAGGCCGCGCCTGTCAGCGGCGTTTGTTTTTTAGTAGCAGCCGAATTTACAGCACAGCATCCCGACGACCACACAGGAACCTTTACTGCCACGTGTGCAGCACCGTGAGACGGCTAAAGCACAGCGTCTTCTGATCGCAGTTCCCCCGAGGGACCCGACTGGGACTGCCCCGTGGCCCGGCGGCCGCTGTGCCGAGGCGCGGGGGACGCGGGCAGGGAGGAGGCGGGCAGGGCAGAGGCAGCCGGGGGCATCCCGGGCCGGCCGCGCTCCGGGATCGGGAGCGAGGGAAGCGGCGCGGCCGGAAGGGGCGGGAGCGTCTCCCGGGTGACGGGGCCGAGATGGCGGCGCGCGAGGCGGCGGCGGAGCGGCGCGCGCCCGGCTCTGGATGAGGGGCGGGCGGAGGCTGCGGGAGCGGCCGCCTCGGCCCCTGGAGCCCCGCGCCCCGCGGCGAGGCCTCCCTGCCGGGGCAGGTGAGCGGGGAGGGTCGGTCCCGGTCCTGGTCCTGCGCCGCCGGGCGCCGCTTCCGCCTTGCCGGGCAGGGGCCCGGCCTGGGCGCGCCGCGGGGCAGAGCCTCGGCCCCGCAGCGTTCTGCCCGCCCTCTGCCCGGCAGCGCCGGGCCCGCGGCCTCTGCCCGCCTGGTCCGGGCCCCGTCCGGGGCGGAGAGGGGGGAATCTCACGGGCAGGGAAGAACGTGGAGTGACGGGCGAGCAGATGGGCAGCGTTTGGGAGCTGGGAGGTTTGGCACCCCGTGTCAAAGGGCGGGGGGCGCACGTCCTGTCAGAGCTGGCAGTGGGACGGCAACGCTTGGGGTTGCCTGGTCTGAAACTCCTCATTGTTCACGCTGGCCGGCAGGTTTCGTAAAAGGTAACGTGAAGGTTTCTTAGCATGCTTTTAAAGTTTTGAGAATCTCTAACGGGTCAGAGAAAAATTAAGTGCTACCATCTGGCTTCGGTGCTTTCTGCAATAACACTAGAGCCTGGCCTGGTCAGTAGAACGGTGGGGCACTGTGTCGTGGTCGTGAATTCACTGTGTAAGTGCCTTAGCTGCACTAACTAGAAACGTTACTTTCATCTAATGAAAAAAAGGATAGCTTGCTGCTTTACAGCTTTCTGGAAATACAGATGTGCACTGCAGAAATTTCTTGTAGGCTGTCTTGTAGTGTACGTTCATTGTAAATAGCTGGTTCTTGCCGAGACAAGCACGTGTTGCAAGGTAATTTTGTGGTAGTAACAACGAGAATGTGTTAATTTGTTGTCTTTGGCGTTCCATGTAGTTACAGAAAACTTAAGTCCAGGGTGACCAGTAATGATGGGAACAGAACTGGGGTCTCTTGAACTCTGGTTCTGTGTCTGGGCACTTTTTCAGTGTTGTGAAGTGAGTTACGTGAGTTACTGCATTATGTAAGAGACTTGTTGCAAAGGTTGTAGTGTAGTATCATGGGATTGTATTACTTCAGTCTGTGTTCTGCATGCTGGTTTTCAGAAGACAGCAGCATAGGTAAGGAATTGTCAAAGAATGACTGTGATCGGTCAGTGGACATTAACTTTCTATTTTAACTAATGTTGCCTTGAAAAGTAGAAGTTATTCTAATTCAGAACAGAAAGCTTCAGGAGTTCGTTCACATTAACAAGATTTGAGCTGTATTCTCATGGAGAGGAAGAGTTGAGATGTGGTGGTATTTCTATAGTAGTTTTATGGCTCTAGGAGTAACATGCTAGGCTCTAGGAGTTTAAAAAAGAGTTGAAACTCTATGTTTTGTATCAGAGTGTTGGGTGTCTAGAATAATTTAGGAATCATCAGCAGCCACCAATTTTTGCTGCCTTCAGTTAGAGAGACAATACTGTCTTGAATTTTGGTATCTTCTGCAGCTTTTGATGGTCTTGAAATCTGTTCCTGAATTTGAGCACCTGGGATGACTTTCCCTATAATTTATAGGAGTGAGCTTTCATCCCAGCTACCTCAACTACCTAGTAAGGCTGCTTGTTCTGAAAGTTGGAACTTTATTGTTGAAACAACAGACATATAATTAAATAGAGGAGATGCCTTCTAATCTTCCCTTTGGGTTCTGCTCCTCTGTTTAATGCCATGGTAGCATGGCTTTGAGGTTCAGTTATGCTGTTTATCTACCCATTTATCAAACTCAGTGGTCAAGACTGTGGTAAGTTTTTTTCCCACCACATTCAGTGTTCCTAATATTATGTTTCTATATAAAGAGAGGAGAAAAAAAGCAAGAAACCAAAGAAAAACCAAACGCAGAAATCAATAAGGAAGAGGGAATTTGAACCTCTGATTAGGCTACAGAATCATGGTGGCTATCTTTGAAATGCAGGAGGTACTGGTTATGTCTTTCAATACCTGATTGCTGTTCCTGAATCATTATGTTGCTGTTTTCAAAACACAGAATATCTTTGTACATCTTGTAACATACATGATTTGCAGGAGGATTTGCGTGCTTGAAAACAGGGTTTTTAGCTCTATCTACTAATCTTCATGAAATTCTATCTCCCTATAAACCTACTTGCTCATCATCAGATTGACGTGACCACTTAAATTTTGTAAAATTTCATACAAAATAAACTTTTAAGAAATCCTGTCCTTGCCACTGAAACCTTGCTAGGTTTACATCAGCTGTTCTAGTGAAAACATAAAAGTACCACTGACCCAGTATAGAGTTTTGGTGCTGACAAATGTAAACACTCCAGGCCATGTTAGTCTTTTGTACTAGGAAATGAACTTCTCCTTTTACTGTAGAAGGGCTAGGCTTTTTTTGTGGCTCCTTATGTAAATATGTATGTGGAGGGGAATCTTTCAGACAAGTTATTTTTAGTCTTGATTTAGAAGCCATCCTTTGGCTATTTATCTAGCTGTGTTTAGTATGGGTTAAAGTCACTGATTCTGAGGTGTCTCCATGTTTTCATTCCAGAATCACAGATGAACTAATGTGAAAGAAAATGTAGTCAATTCACAAGGCACTGATAATTCAAGGCAGAAATTGTCTTTCTTTCAATGATGATATCTAAAGTAAGCTGCACAAATCAGTTGGCATGGTAGAGGAACAGAGGAGAGCAAGATAGGTGCTGTGTAATGAGTATTTTGACATCTTTTTCACTGACAGTAGTAGACGAGTTAATTAGGAAAAAAAAAGTTTCTAAAGCAATTTTAATGCCACAAAGTGACTTTATTTTAGAATTAGATTTTGTCCGTTGAAATACTGTATAAGTGGTATTTGTGTGTACAGTTAGATATGAAAGAGGAAGTGCTTCTTCAGGTGACAGTGTGCTCATTGTACAGTGATGGTGACGAGAGCTTTGCTCATTGCATCATAGTTGACTAACCAGTCCATCTGAGTAAGGACTGTGCTGGCCACTTCCAGTGAAATAAGAGATGACAGGAGTTCTAATGAGGCTGCTGCTGCAAGCTGAAAGCACAATAAACTTCTGAACTTTCCTTCTCTTCCTTCTATTTCCTTTATGGATCCATAAAATGTATAAGTTGCTTCATTTCTCTGGCTTGGCTCTAAAGTGTTTAACATCTTGCTGCTGCTGTCCTTTAATCCTTTCTGTGTTCATCTTCCATGTGAGCAGCTGCTGTGACTTTTTACCAGTGGAAGGCAGGACAAGCTGAATAAGTCAAGCTCCAGCTAAATTTGGCATCTGTTTAAAAATTGCTGAGTTGACTGCTAGTATTAGTTTAATTAGGATTCATGTCTTGATTTATTTGCTTATTTATGTCTGTTATAAGGAAAATTTATTTGACAGTAAGTCTGATAAATGTAATACATTAGAAGCAATTTAAATAGTGAGAGAAGGAAATCTCTATCCTGTTTTATAAATGGGAAGCTGAGGCATGATGTGTGATATACAGAAAGTTGTATCAGGCTGACAGACAACTCTTATCAGATTTTCCAAATTTTAGTCCAGTGTTTCACTTTTGCATCTGTCTGTTAAGGAATGTGTTAGGATTCTTGCTTCAGCACTGCCACTTTGTACAATGTCTCTGTCATCCTGTGTCATAGTTAACAGCTGAGACAGTTGTAATTCCTTTAGTGATTGTTTATCAAGGAAAGGTTTAAGAGAAGAAAAGGAAGACAGAATGTCGTGGCCCTGCCATTTAGCATTACACTGTTTAGTATTTTTCCCATTCCCGAGAAAGGGAAGGTACATCCAGTGTCTGAGAAGGATGGACAAGAAAAGAAGGAAAAGCTTGTTTCGCATAACAAGTTTAGCGTTACAGTATCAGGTGAATAAGATTAACAGTGAACTGAGGAAAATAAAGGTTCTCTGTACGTCTGTATTCATTCACCTACTTCAGAATATAAAATTGCTTACCTTTGAGAAATTTAATTACCTTAAAAAAATCCCAAACACAAAAAATCCCAACCCCAAAAACCACCAAACAAAACTCAAAACCTCAGAAAGGTTTAACCTTTATCTTTTCAGGTATTGCTGTCTTTAGAGCAATAATGCATGTTTCAAGTGAAGTTTCAGACACAGGGGACAATGCTTGACCTGTCCTTATCTTGAGATAATAATTGGGTCAAAATTGTGTTCTAAACAGCTTTGGCATATTGCCAAAATTAATGCAAATATACTGGTTCATATCTTAATTAGCAGTATAAGAACTAATGTAATATTACTCTGGTTATGTGATAGCATATTGTTGCCAAAACTCTGGTTGTGCATCTGACAATTTCTAGTTTACAGAGCTAAATTGGGAAGACTGCAGTAAACACTCAGAGAAGAGGTAGACAAAACAGTGCCTGCTGTCTTGAATCATAGAACTATTAAGGTTGGAAAAGACCTCTAAGACCATCAAGTCCCACCTTTGAAGGGCCTAGTTCTGCCACAGTTGAAGTGAAATGCAGCTCTAACACAAATATGTTAAGTGGCTGTGTGTGTCTTATCATAACTGTGAAATCTTTGTGTGATACTTGAAAAGTGGAGAGGCACAAGTTGTCTGATTGTTGTGGGGAATGACAGTACTTATTGAACCTTGCCAAATAGGCATGCTGGTGATATTGGATGTAGTCACTCATGTATAGGAATGACCTGGGAAATGGATTAAAATGGATTAACTTCTGGTAGCTAATTTCTTGTCAGCATTGGATTTCACAAGTCTGCAAGCCAGACTTCTTGTGGATTCTGTTGTGTTTTTCTCAGTTGTTTAACTTAATATTGAGAATAAATATAAAACAGAGTATGCACTTTAATAAATGAAAAATAGAGATGAGTTGAAAAACTGGGTTTATAAATACGTATGCGTACATATAAACATATATATGTGTGTATATATATATATATATGTCATTGACACACCTGAAGGTTTTTTTGGTTTTAGTTTTGCACTTAGTAACCTTCCTAGTCCCTTGACTTGCAGCATAAATAATATTGAGTCTGCAGAGGTTTTTGAGTAATGGTTTCTACCTAAAACAACCTTTTCAATCAATAGTTTGTTTTGGGGTTGTTTTTTTTTGTTTGTTTGTTTGGTTGGTTTTTTTTTGTTTGTTTTTTTTGTTTGTGTTTGTTTTTTTTTTTAAATTTAACATCTCTCTATACTGTCCAGTGTGGCAGTTAGATAGTCTAAACAGGGTAAGATGGCTTTACTCTTTCATATATTGAGTACTATTCTATTCCTTGTCTCTTGCCCTCCAAGCTTGTAGAAGAGTGAATTCTGCTTGAGTGGAGTGAGCTTCTAAACAAGCTTCCTTTCAGAAAAGATGTGCCTTTATTCTCTTTTCAGCAGGTCACCCGCTCTTCGTGCCAGGTAGATAGCTTCTAGCTGTCTCTTTTAAAAATAGTATTTTCTTTCACCAATTCAGTGTTAGTTTGCAATAATTTCTACCCTTAGAATAGAAAACTTTCCATCTAATTACTATCCTCTCTGCTTTCGCTAACTTATGTTATTTCTGAATCCTTCAAATTCTTGACTGATGCATTCTTTGTCATCTAGATATTGTCAACATTGCTCATTCTGGAAGGTAAGGAAGTGCTTGATCCACGATATGAAATGGTGGTCCAATCTTTTAAACTAAAAGCTAAATGTCTTGGGTGGTGTCTGTTCTTGGTTCTTTGTGGGAAGTCTGACTGCTTCCTATTTCTGTCAGATGAAGAGCCAGCCCATTACTGTATCAAGTTCTCTGCATTTTTAAGTCTCCCATGAAATGAAATAAGACAACACTAATGTTGAAGTAGAGTTGATGTGTCCTGTGAGGCCTTTCTCCTGAGCTACAGCTCGGTGATGTGGTCTGTAATTTGGAGGTTACTTACTGACTTAACCTTCCACTTTGCAGTAAAAGGACCTGTTTGTTTAATAGCCATCCAGTATGATTTTTCAGTAGCAGAAATTCCTGTTCTGGACTATATGTGAAGCAATATTTCCATTACTATATTACTGCAGTGTTTAATAGTAGTTACATTATGTAGCAAATGAGCACCAATAAAGATAAATCTATGCTCCGTGAAGCTCACAAATCCCATTATGTACCTTTTTAATAAAATCCTCAGGACAGTATTGGAGCAGCCTACCTAATGATCCACCTTCCTGACTCTTCCTAACTTAAAGCCTGGAGTATAAAAAGTGATTTAAATGCCATAGCATATTTGAAATCAAGCTGCCCTTCCATGGAATACTCATGGCCTGAGGAAAATGTCACAGGGCTGCCTTCTCTTCTCACCAGGAGGTATGTTAAACTTGCAACAGAAAATGTTGTTACAAGTGTAGATGTACATAATGAAAAGCTATTTGTGAAGCCTAACCTCTTATTCTTTACTCTGAAATGTTCACCTGTAGAAGAGAGAAAAGGGATTCTTGAATTACAGCAGATTATTCTGAGTCAATCTGTACCGATTGGAGGTGATCTGTTGGAATGATGTGATATACTGAGTATGAATTCCCTAGATTATGAAATTGTCACTGAAAAATAGCTACCAACAGGAGTGACTTCAGCCTAAGATTTTTTTTCTTGGCTGGGTTTGCTGTCATGATCCAGTCTGGCATAGAAATACTAATAGATCTGGGGGTCAGCTGGTGCTATAGTGCACACAAATGAACAGTCTTTCTTTGATGATGATTTTTCAGTGACACTGATTCAAAAATAAACATTGTTTATTGTCATCGAACATTTCCATCAAAATGGAAAGTAAACAGCCAATTTTGGGGTTTGACTTAATGACTAAATTTATAATTTGTATGTGCAAGACATGCCCAAGCAAGCATGAGCTTCATGAGCTTCTCTCTGACGTTTATTCTGTTCTCCTTTCATTGCCAGTATTCAGTGTCACTGGCAGTGTCTGAAACAGAGCTGTGCTGTCACTGCTACTGGTTGCCTGCATTCCCCTTTAAAAATGTCTCTAACTATGACTTTCTCTATGATTATGTGCTGTTTCTTTAAAGGCTATATATATTAGATACCTTGTATTATTTACATCAGTGAAATGCCCTGATAGTAGGCAGGTTGCATCTTTGTTCCAGGTACTTCCTCTCTTTCCTTGCATTAATACAGTTTCACAGAATGCTCCTTGCTTAGCAGCAACTAAAGTAATTTGCTTTAAGAACTGTATAAAGATGTATAATCCTCTGCATCTTACTTTTTTCTTTTTCAGGAAGGGTTTCTCACCATGGCCATAACACAGTTTCGACTCTTTAAAGTCTGTACTTGCCTGGCAGCAGTGCTTTCTTTCATTAAAAAGTTAATATGCAGGTAAACATGTCTTATTTAATTTGGTTGCATTTTCTTTTTCAACTACAGGTTCTTGCACTTCTTTCCTTCGCCCAGCACCCACCCACCAATTTTTCCACTTCTGATTTTACTTATTGCAAAACAATCAAGACAGATGAAAACTAAATCAAATTAATTCTTTAATTTGCATATTCAGAGTTCCAAAAGTCTGTGTAGTGCATTTGTGAGTGTATTTTGTTGTGATAGCTGAATGAGTTTTTCTAAACAACTATGACAGGGTTTTAAGATTGCCTTTTAAAACTATTCCATGACAAACTGGAAGAAAAGCTGTTCAGTTAATGGCAGCATCCACCATTGTGCAATTGGCTTTCACTATAAATATAAGCAATTCTCATCCAGCTTTGTCAAAAACTAGTTGCCTGAGACTTCAGATTCTTCTTCCTATTGAAAATTCTTTCAAAAGTTTGGAGGACAGTGATGGAATCTCAGGGAAACCGAGTTTGTTTTTTTTTTTCTTTAATGGTGAATAATGACTTACGTTTTGCTTAATCTTGTAAGTCATATATAGTGTTCTTTTGAGTTGTAGACCTGTGAATGCAGCAGTGTAATACTTAGAAATGTTCTCAAAATCCTCAAGAGTTAGAGTTGTGTAGTAGTAGAGTTGAGTAGTACAGTAGCAGAGCACCTGAGGCAGATCTTGGCAGTGCTGTCCTATGAACTACTGTGCTTCTTGCCACTCTGGCAGCACGTTGTTTTACATAAACAAATAACAGTCTGGAGAAATGCATTCTCCTTTTGTGTATGATGATGACAACTTTGCCAGTGAGGTTAAAGCATATGCAGAGCATGTGGTAGACAGAAAATAACTGTTTATTTCCTCTTCACCTTTACTTGTTCCAAGAAGGGGAAACTCGCAACTCGACAGATTTAGTAAAGCTTTAGAAAGATACATTTTAATGCTGCATATAACTATATAGATGTCAACCTTAGTTCTGTGATTTGAATTCCAAATTAAATTAAGAATACTTGCTGTTCAAGTTCTGAAAGAAGTCAAAACACTGAGTTGATAACTTCTATGTTATATGGACTACTCATTTCTCTATGTATTAAGGTAGTTTTTATAAGCAGATAATTGTTTTGTAGATGTAATGATAGTATTTTCATGGTTTTTTCAAATTCTGAATGAACTAAAACCTAGAAATGAACAGCTGAGAAACTGCTTTGGAGTAAAAAAAAGTGGAAAACCTCTAATTTTGTGAGTAGCATTTAGCTGAAGGAATGAAAATTTAAAATCTTTCACATAAGCAAGTCAGTGGATCAAATTAATTCAGTTCATTAACTACAGATGTTTATCCTGTTTACTGTCAGCTGCAAAGTGTAGCTTGATAAATGTTGTGTTCCTGTAATGCATCCCCACATATGTGTATGCCTGATAACCAGCAAATGTGATTTAATTAAATGTGCATCCTAATTCAGTGGATATGACCTTGTACTTACTTAGATTATACAAGTGCCTGTAGAGATTGTGCATCTTCCTAGTAAGTCTAGAGCCTACATATAGCATTAGTCATCTCTGTAGTGAAAACTTCTTTTGATTAACACCCTGCCTGAATCCAGTTTCCAGGAAATAAAAGGTTTAAGTATAAAAAGAGTATAAAACAGATCCTTCTGTTTAAACTCTCTAGTTAGTTCATCCAGCTGATGATTGCTGATTAGTAAGGTGAAACAAACCCAAGAATTCTTGAGGCATTTGATATTCAGTGATCAATATCTATCTAATGATGGTTGTGAAGCAGCTGTTCCTATAAGCATCTTGTTCCCTGTGTAGAGGTGGAGATACGTAGCCTTTCCTCAGTACTGCTCTGTGTAGCATATTCTTTCCCATGTTTTATGACAAAAGATTTCCTCCTACCTTTACCCTTGTTAGTGTAATCATTTTCACGAGATGAATGTTTGTTACAGGCCACTTGCTGGAATCTTCTAATTCATATAAACAGAGAAATACATGTAAGTGCAAAGTGATGGCTTAGAATACTATTAAAGATATGTATGTTGTAGTGGTCTGAAGGAGGATGCTTTCAAGAGTGAGTTTCCTTTAGAGATGTCACCTAAATCTAGTCAATCAGAAGTCTCTACCAGAAGTCTCTAACGTGTCTGAGGAAACAGTGTTTTCACCTTCCTTTACCCTTAAACTCTGTTGCTTTGCAGCTTAAAGGAACAGGTGATAAAGGGGTTGGAGTGAATTATTTAAAACTTGAAAATTTGATGATAGCACCTGATCTTTCCTAAGGAGGAATCTATTGGGCCTAAAGTAGAAAAAATACATCTAATCACTTACCAGCATGCAGAGAGGTGATTTTACAAGCAATTCAGCTAGTCTGAGTAGATGGTAGTATGTTCTATAATACAAAAAGTAATGGATAGAAACTACAAATTGAAGTTTCCCAGTTTTATTCTCATCAGTAGTAAGAAACAAAATGTAACTTTTCCAAACTGCGTAAGGTCAATTACATGTCTCTTTTGCTACAGGAGCTTAAACTCCTTGAAAACATGAGTGTAAGCCATAATTTCATTCTCTTGTGTTGTAAGGTTTTAAAATATAGTGAATGTCAGTTAAGAATGTTTTAATTATTATTTTGATGTTTGAATACTGTCATTAAGTAAATATCTATGTGGTTTATCTACAATGCATTAGTGTTTGTTTTCAATTAAAATTATTTGATTTCGTTGCTGAAATGCATTGAAACAGTATTCGTTCAGTAGAAGCATGAATTGAACAAAAGCTGTTGACTTGCATAATCTTGTATTACGCCTGTTTAGACTTTGAAGGACAAAGTACTTTAGAAGGGCTTTCAAATCAGGAAGCTCAGAAAGCGATTTGTTAGTCACAGTTTAACATCCAAGACAAATAGAAAACTTTCCCAGTGTACAGAAGAAATAGTTCTTTGACAAATGTATGTTGCTCGTGCTTGCTTTATAAGCACTGACAATCTAAAAATTGTTAAATGATTTATGCAAATAATTGAGTTATTTTGTCCATTTTCATATTTCTCAGAAGTATATCTCCTCTATTTCCACTGCAGTTAGAAAAGTAAATTGCACACATGAACACCACTTTAAATTCATGATAAAATTCCTTTGCTTAGCAGACTTTTACAGGCAGTAGTTAATACTAAGGTAATTGAAGCACTAAATGTTTTAGCCATGACTATTTTCAGTAGTGCTGTCCTCAGACTTCCTTTTTGTTTTTTTTAAACTTAGTGCTCATGTTTTCAGAGCTTGGAGGAATCCTACATTTTTCTTTCAGGTCTGGAAGAGGGCGAAAGTTAAGTGGAGACCAAATAACTTTGCCAACCACAGTGGATTATTCATCTGTTCCTAAACAGGTAATTGTTAAAGTGGTAGGTGATATAATAGATAATCCCTTAACAAAGTGATTATAGCAGTCCTGCAACAGTGTTGGTATACTCCCAAGGAAGATATCATACTATTATATATGCTGTATAATATTAAGTATATATCTTAGCAAGATATAAAAAGACAAGTTTTTACTTGCAGATAGTATTAACTTGTACCATATACTTCTGTTCAGCCTGAAGTAGAAGACTGGTCTTCATGGGATGAAGATGCACCTACCAGTGTGAAGATTGAAGGTGGAAATGGTAATGTGGCTGCTCAGCAAAATCCTTTGGAACAAATGGAACCTGATTATTTCAAAGATATGACACCAACTATAAGAAAAACTCAAAAAGTAAGTATTGCACTTTCAAATATACTTATGGAGGGTTTTCCTTGCTTTAAAGTAGGCTGTAAGTAAATCAACTTATAGAATGTGCTTGTTAGTAAAATTAAGCTGCCCTGTTGAAATGAGAACAGATGCTTGTGTGTAGTCTAACACGTCCAGTTAAAAATGCTGACTCTTTGTGATTTTAACGAATGTGATGCTATTTCATGTTTTCATCTTTAGTCTTAATGTTAGTGGAAACTTAGGAATAGCTTCATAGTCTGAAGGTCCTGGGAAGTATAGTGTGAGAACCCTCTAGTCACTTTAATTATGATAGTGGAACATTGCACTAAGGTGCTTGTGCTTATACCCTTCCATTATTTGAACAGAGACATTCCATGTCCTGGTCTGCTGAGGTCTGAGAGAGCAACACTGCAGTTTCAGAAAACAATAGTTACTTGTTTAACCAATTTATACTGGGAGGCTGGAATTAGGGGACTGGTATTTCAAAATAGCTTGCTCTTGAAATATCCATTTCTATTATGGAGACAAGACAGAAGGTCATATCTACAGGAGTATCAACATTGTAAATAAATGCTGATTAAACTTCTGGTAACTGCAAGTTTTATTTCTATGTGCAAATCTCTCAGCTGGTTACTTACAGGTCTTTGAGTCAATTGGAAAATGTCACAAAAAAGGCTGTCAAGTACTGGAACAGGTTACTAGAGAGGTTGTGCAGGCTCCATCTCTGAATGTTTTCAAGCCCTAAGTGGATAAGCCCAGACTACTTTCATCAGCTTCTGAGCTGACAGTGCTTCGAGGAGGAGGTTGAATTACAGACCTCCCGAGGCACCTTCCAACCTGCGTCTTCCTGTGGTCCTATGATCTGGAGGTGATACTGGTGTCAGTTTTCTGTACATTCAGGATCTGCAGTATTCTGTGGACTAAATTCTTCTAATGAATGATTTTGATCTCCCAAAATCTGAGGGGCAGAGGAGGACTGAGGAGATTTCTCCTTTACATCTACTGACATTTTTTGCCTAATAGGATGAATGACCTTCAGGTTCAGAACAAAATGGAGAAGAGTCCATGCTGTTTGAGTCCTGTATGCTGGGTTTATTTTAAGTATGTCTCTAGGGATGACTACAGGCACTGTAAAGAATATTCCTGTTAACTTGGCCCACTTACTACCCTTAGATATGCATTTATGTTTGTATTTCCACCAAATATTGCCTCAATATAAACTCTAAGATTTGAGCTAGAATCTACTCATGTTGCCACTCATCTGCATTCACCTATTAGGAAATGGAACTTCAGTCAGTCAAAAAACAGTCTGTCATTGCTAAATAAGACTCTCTAGTCTTGTTCCCTTTCTTGCATTGATACTAGCATTTGTACAGTGGAACTGTGAATCTGCCTCATTAGGAAACAGCAGAGACCTAAAGTGGGCTTAAAGAGGCAACTTTATGACTTGAGGTCAAGACAAGGGAGGGAAATGTGATCTTAGCAACCATGTTAAATTTGCTAATATGCCTTTTGGGAGAAGCACTAGTGCATGTTTTTCAGCCAAACCAGTATAGAGCTTTACTAGCTGGTATGATAGAGAATGACTTTGCAGCTACTGAAACTGTCTGCACAGATATGCTGTGGAAGCAGCTGAGAGAGCTCACACTGCAGTGCAGTGCAGCAGTGCAGACAGCACTGCCCTCAAGAGTAGTATCTTACAGTGATCTATCACAGAAGCAGCATTTCTCCAAGGAATATGTCATGGAGTTGGTAGCTTTCATGAGTAGTAGGAGATGTGGCTATTTGATCTGTAATTCTTTGTGCCCATTCTCTGTCTTGATAGAGTCATAGGTTTCCATGTGACTAAAGAAGGAGCTAATGTAGGGAGGGGGAGTTGTTTTTTGCATTTGGCATCTTTCACTTATCAGTTCATTTGGCTGTACAGCTTCCAGGACCTGACCGGGTTTGAGACACAGTGTGGTGTTGTGTACCTGTACCTTCACAGGCACAGAGTTAAATGATCACCAAGGAGTCTCTGTAGTGCTTTGATTTACCTCTTTTTGTTCCTGTTTTTGAATATTTTCAGATAGTTATTAAAAAACGAGAGCCTTTAAATTTTGGGATTCCAGAGGGAAACACAGGATTCTCCAGCAGATTAGCAGCTACACAAGATATTCCTTTTATTCACCAGTCTGTAAGTATGCTCTAAGTTTTGATCTTGTATTTGATGGTTAAATGACTGTTCTTTAGGGGAAGGAATAGTCTATCTAAGGTATGCATTGTGGAGAGTAAGAAGAATAGTTGTGGAATAATGTAAATTTTTTTTAAAATTGAGTATTTGGTTCAAAGACTGATGTGGTTATTATAAGTTTAACTAATATGTTCTACTGAGAAACTCGACTGATAAAAAGGTAAGAAACTTCCATGCACTTCTGTGCTTGCAAATCTGCTGAAGCAATGAACTATAGAGTTTTTTTGATTCTAACCAGTAAGTTACTAACAAAAGAGTGGATGGCTTTTCTGAAAGCCTCTTGTGTTGCCTTTGTTTTATCTTATCTTGGACCCAGTTTTAACTTTCTGCTTTTCCCTTTCTTTAGGGATTGTAGTCAAACAGTCTCCTAATTTTTGCTTTTTAGCCTTTGAAAACATAGTCTAGTTACCTATGAGCATGACCATTTAGTAGTTGATGCTTTCCCTCCCTTTCCATCTTTAACAGTGTGTCTGCTTTAATTGGCATAGTGCAGAAAGGGTCCAGGCAGGAATGTTTGTAGGCAGGATGGTTGTACCAGCTCCCTGTCCATAATGAAAATAGTTCAGGAAAGGAACTAAACGCATCACTCAGCTGATATTGGGCATACTAACATATGGATGTACATGCTGGTTTGTTCATGCAGCTTCCAGAAATCTTTTACACTAACTGCTCATTTAATCTGCTCAACTTATCTTCCTCTTCCCAAAAATGCACTCCAGTACTTCATTTCTGCCTTTGTCCAAAAACCCCTTTGACAAGTGGAAAAACTCACTATTAGAGCAGGAAAATAGACAATAAGTTGAGAAGCACTGCCATATCTTAAATACTTCTGTAAATCTGAAGCACTAAGGTTAAAAATAGATGTTAAGGAAACTTTCCTGTCCGACCATCCAGGAACCACACCAATGCTTTTTCTTTTTCCATGTGCTTAAAGCTTCTCTTTTGTTTCAGCCTGAACTGGGAGACTTGGATACTTGGCAAGAAAATACTAATGCCTGGGAAGAAGAGGAAGATGCTGCCTGGCAGGCAGAAGAAGTTCTTAGGTAAGTGAAATTGATGTGACACATGTGGAAGAATCAAATTTGTTTGCTTATTTAACACCTTTCTGGTAAGTGCTAAGAATTGTTAAACACTTCTTAAGACAAATTATTTTTGTGGATCTAAACTCTATGTAACTGGTAGCTGGCAGAAGACATTTGGATTTAATCATTTTAGTGGATGAGATAGAAGGGGAAATCTGAGAATCACTGCAACATTGGAACAACACATTAACACATGCACACACACCTGTGCACTAAAAACCAGCCCAAAGATGCCTCACCCATCCCAGTGACTTACTATCTACAAATAACACGTTTGAACTTGGTTAAGTGAAATACCACTTGATATGCTTATAGAAAGGATCATAACCATGTGCTTAAAGTAAAAGTAGTTCAGGATAAAAGATGAAGTACTAAGTATGTTCTTGGAATCCCTGTAAGAGCTATGCTTTTCTAGCTAACGTTACTAAACTAGCTGATAAGGCTGAATGAAAAATCAAAGTCTTGCACAAAGTTAGAGTGAGTACTTCATCTGTTTATGTTCTTTTTTTTCCCTTTTAAGAAGACATAGAAGGAGTATGGAGATTAAAGAGCTGCAAATTGAGTTTAAGGTAATCACACACAGTGATTTCACTTTGCAGTGACTTAGGGTTTTATCAAACTTGTATTGGTTGCTCCATCATCAGGTAATCAGCCTCAGATAGCTGCAGCTACCTAGACTGTTCTCATTTTACTCACAAAACCTTAAGTACATGGCTTCAGCAGTCCAATAGTGATAATATGAAATAAAGACACAATATATTCAAAAATCATTCTAGAACTGTGAATCTTTAAAGGAAAAGAGATACCTTGGGAGGAAAAAAAAAGCATTCCAATCAACTATTTATTTTAATGTTTGAAAAATATACTTTTTTCAGTCTGTGAAATAAGATGAGGGAATTCACCAGCACACTTTCAATGCAATATTCATAAATGTTTCTATTTAGTGTCTCTCTCAGCTTTGCTCTGCAGCAGCTTAATACGTGAGAATAAGATTATACTGCAAGTATTTTTGTAAACTTAAGCCTTTATGTCTACATTCTGGTCAATATATTGGGTTTTTTAACTTCAGTACTGTTTCAGTCTTTTGGTAATGCATAACAGAAGGACAAGCTTTGGGATATGAATGATGTGTCTTTGGGCTGGTTTTGTTCCAAGGATAGTAGTTTTTCCCATAAAAAATAACAATAGGCTCAGTAAGATCTTTCATCTCTGAAGTGCAGTCTACTGAGACTTAAATGAATGACAATGAAAAATGCTGCTCTTTTTGAACTGAGAAGTAAGACAACTACTTTTGCTGACTGCAGAGGCTGCATGGTACTTTACTTAACCCTTGCCACATTTCATTACAGATGTTTTTAGGACTACCAAAAGTAGCATTCAAACTTTCAGAAGCAGGGGCTTGTCCTATACAAATTAGCTACTAAAATGATCTGGTGTATGCAGTTTGTCTCTGGAGTGTAAAATTTGTGCAGTGGATATTTCCAGATGGTCAAAGGTACATTGTCTGCCAACTGTCGGGTTCGTTCTCTAGAATACTTAGGAAAACAGATCTCTTATGTGGCAATAGCAGTGAGGTTTTCTCCAAACCTTCATTTTTCAAAATGTCATGTTATTTGGTTGAAACTACTATAAAGATTTCAGCCTATCATCTTTACTATTGAAAGGCTTCAGCTCGAGTTATTAATTTTGATGAAATTTCTTCCTGGTCCCACTAAAAAGTATCAAACTTTACTTTTTATAGAAGGGATGTGTATGTGTCTAAATATTTCCAGTAGCTAGAACATGATTGGAACTGTAGCTGTCTCTGTGGCAAACCACTTGGCTACCTCAGTACAGCTGGTCATTGTGTAAGCTGCATCCCAGCTGTGTGAAGTAAAACTTTTGTTTTATTCATGACATGCAAATGGCAATGTTTTCCTGTAAATGAGCAAAGTGCTGGCTAATTTTTAGGAAGATTGATAGGAAATACCTGCTGGGTTTACAGTTTCTCTTGCAGGAGAAATCTGTGATATATTTAACATCTGATATTAACATAAAACTTTAGTATAGTACTTGGCAGGCCTGGCTCTGTATTTGACAGACTGTAGTAAGGAAGGGGTATGGAATCTCCTCTTAATGCTGGTCTACAAAATGATCTGAAGATCCCATGGCCTCTCTGGTGACTTAGTGCACAAGGATAACAGTTGAAAGAAGCATGGATAAGATTTCAGACTACTAAATGGAGGAGAGAGTCCTCCTAACATTACAGAGTGTTCTTGCTGACTGTACTCCAGTGGTGCTTTTTGAGAATGAAATGAGTGTGCAGAAAAAGTAAAGGTCTCCCTCAGCCAGCTGTATCTGGGTACCTGTTGGTGCTCAGTCAGTGTTTAGAAGTATCTTAAGACTAGAATAATTTTTGTGTAGTAGTGGAGTGCTGATCAATCATGGAAAAATGGGCTGTGGCCTGCTAAATAGCAGAGAAGACTGTATCCTGTGGCCTCTCTGGTGACTCAGTGCATAAACATAACAGTTGAAATAAGCACGTACAATAAGCCAAATGCTCTCTGGAATCAAATCATGCAGAAAGGCAGCGCTGAGGGTTAGGCTACTAATGCCTGAGAACTTCCTGTAGGTTTTTTTTTTTCTCCCACTATCCAGCAGGTTCTGGGCTGGGATGCACTAAAATTTTCCAGTCAGTGACTAATCAGTGTAGCAGATGATAAACTGGATTTTCAGTTAATTTGAGTTAGTTGGAGCTTGGTTTCGTCTGCAAATTTTAGATACCTATGTACAACTTATTACCAATGAAGATTTTTTTTACCCAGTGGGAACAGTTAAGCTAGTGCATTTTTAGTTTATAGCAGCTACTTGTGTATATTTTTCTGTGACCAGTTGCTCTGTCCGAGATGACGTGAAAGGTCTCTCTCATTTGGGTGTCACCGAATACAATTTCTTGGCCTGCAGAGGGCGCGGAGCCGCCGCTGTGTCAGCGCGGGGAAAGAAACTGGAGCTGCCGTGTCAGCGGCACTGCTTAATGCTCGCCTCGTGTGGCTTTCTGAAACTACTGTCTCTACATACTGGCTGGTGCTCAAAGCAGTTCTTTCCCTCTGCATCAGTTCAGAGGAGTGGGGAATATAAGAAAATCTGCTACTGTAAAGGGACAAATATTATTACTCTGACTGACAGCAGCACTGTCAACTATCCAGCTCTTGGGTAGAATGTAAATAGTGGGTGATGACCTCAAAAAACCCCAAAACTTTTGAGCTGCTGTTAACTTGGGAGGTAGATCCTGATATGAATGACTATTTTCATTCTTCCATGACTGACAGAGCAGCTTAGTAGAGTATAGGAAAACTTCTGACCATTAATAATCAATCAAGGGAAACAAAGTATTAAATAAGTGCAGTCTCTCCTGTTTAATACAAAGATAGTGTGTAGACTTTGTACCTTGGATATTTTGAAGTTTTGTGTGCCTAGTTTGTCCATAGTTGGAATCTACCAGAGAAGGTTGCTTCAGGTGATGATGCTTTTTAACTCTGTATGTTTTACTAAGTGGATGTGCTCAGGTAATTTGGATACATTTAAATTTAACTCCCTCATCAATTAGAATTCTTTATTATCTTTTTATTCTTTATTCTTACTAAAACTATCTTAAATTTCACCTTTTCAAGTTAATGAAGCTTCATTTTTAAAGTTCTCTTGCAAGCAATTTAGGAATTTTTTCCATGTCTAATAAATTGAATCCAAAGTAAGAGTGACCTACTTAGACAATACAGGAGAGAGCTGCAATGTGTCACTTGGAGTATGGATCCAGTTGTTGGTCCTGCACCACTCAATAATGTGTTGTAGCTGAAGCAGGGGAATAAAGTGAGTGAATTTTTCTGGTGGTCTTTCTTTCTTTGCTGTAATCAGCTATGTATTTGTTGAAATTGAAAGACAGATTCTTTGAGCTAAGAGAGTGATGTCTGGAGCTTTATAACAATTATAAGAAACAATGCTAAAAGGATACCCAACTGAAGACTATTTTTTTTTTATTTCCATAAAGACTGTTGTTTATGTTTGTAGCAGACAATAGTCTCAATAAGAGACAATACAGATCTTCAACTCCTGATGGGGAGTATTAAAAGTTAACATCTCATCTGATCATGACAGAAATGTGTGCAGTACTTGCATTACAAAGGGGGTCACTACTGATGCTTCTGCTGAGGGAAAGGGGGGACACAAGTCAGTGTTCTAGACAAGTCAAACTGGTTTGGTCTGAATTTGAAAAGATGGGTGCTCTTGCTACTGAAAGCATTACATAGATTTTTATTTTTTTGCATTAGCCCTTATAACTGTCCTAAACTCTCACTGATTCACTTTGAGAATTTAGTGGCTTTTAGATTGCTAAATAATTGAACAAATTTTACTACCTAAGACTAGATTGGATTAGGCTGGATATTAGGAGAAGGTTTTCTCCCAGAGGGGGGTTGGGCGCTAGAACAGGATCCCCAGGAAAGCGTTCACAGCACCAAGCCTGACAAGAGTTCAAGAAGCATTTGGACAATACTCTCAGGCACAGGATGTAACTCTTGGTGGTGTCCTGTGCAGGGCCAGGAGTTAGACTATGATGATCCTTGTGGGTCCCTTCCAACTCAGGGTATTTCATGTTTTTAGATTAATTTGAAAAGAGGACTTCAGCACAATAAAAGAGTAAGTCTTCTTAGCCTAACAACAGTATTCTGAAGCTCTGTTTTTATTAGTTACAATAAACTGTGTATTAACAGGAACTTAAGGTATGACCATGCTGAAAAATTTAATTCCTATTATTTAGCAATTCATATTTTCTTTAATTGCAGGCAACAGAAGATAGCAGAAAGGGAAAAAAGAGCAGCAGAACAACAGCGAAAGAAAATGGAGAAAGAGGCACAAAGGCTAATGAAAAAGGAACAAACCAAAATTGGTGTAAAACTGTCCTAACAGAAACCAGGCATCAATGGCAGTGTTGGTGAAAAGAGAATTTCAACTCTACAACATACATATGAGTATTGATTTAACTATTTATAGACTTCAACGCAGTGCTTGGTTTCAGTGCATTCTTCAGGTCATCTTGGAAGCCAGGACTTTCCCAAAATATCTTGAACTACTAGTACATGGTTCTTAAAGGAGAAAAACCCCACAGAAAATCATGCCTTGATGGAATGTTTCCTGCAGTAGTTCTATTCCAGCACCCTTCCTTGGAGCAAAAGTGATTGACAAGGATGTTGATTGAAAAACACTTAATGAACAGCTCAAGCCTAGGGAAAAGAATGTAAATATTGAGTGGTGGGAAATCTACTGTATTGTCTGTGCTTACCTGAAACATGTAATTAAACAGTTTTAAAGAACCCTTTGCTTCCTGCCTGATAAAAAATGTTTATCAATGTATTTACAAACACTTCAGAGTTTTTCATAGGAGATCATATTGACCTATGCAGGAGAAAATAACTTATGGATGACTTGCAACTCAAAGTGTCCTCCTGGTACGTTATGCAATAGTAGAGCACAAGTTACAGCTGAACACTAAAAGTGGATTTTTTGTCACTGTCACTTGCAGCTTCCTGTGCTCCCTCATCCATTTATGAGTGATGATGCAATGGCTACCAGCAGTAGCATCACTACACAAGAGTGGTGTACCTTTTTTATAAAGGCTGATGTTGTGAATGTAAGGGAGTGTTTTAATGACTTACTTTTGTTGGTAAATTTGTATTTTTAGCAGAAATACTTCCTACAGTCAAGGAAAAAAATCCTCACATCTTACACTCCTTGCATAGGTAGTGTAATTGAGAAAAAAATTCATGTCCTGCTGTTAAAAGTGCTAGTGTGAAAATGCCCTGTTCGATTACAAGCACTTCAAATTCCATTTTTTTGTATACTTACTGTATGTATTTACACAGGAATTCCCCGGGTAAAGTGTGAATGGTAAATGTGCAGCAGAAGGCAACAGTGCTTTAGTGAAGGAAGAGAATTTTAATGTCTGCTGGAAAGAAGTGTGTAGGAGGAGGGGGTCTGTGTACTGCTTGTGTCCAGCCCAGTGCTTTGGTGGATGCCTTTTCCACTGTTGTGTAGATGTTATTATCCTGAATTTGTGGGTTGTATGGATTACTTACCTTATGACAGAGGAGTGAAGTTAGCTTGTTTTGTGCCTGGGAATTGTTTCCTGTGCCTACAGAAAACAGTGAAGTTCTAAGGGAATGGGAAGGGGTGGGGGGCCATGTGACTAGATCTTGCCTGCCTAGACAAACAGAATTTTTTACTAAGTTGTAATAGGTTCTGGCACAAGTTTTGCTTAAAAAATAAGTAATTGAGAAAACAAGACAGTTAGAATTACTTTTAATGGCCTCAGTCACGGAGAAAAGTTTTAAAAAATGTTTTGTATGCTTGTCATGTATCTTTAAATCTTGCACAAGTCAACTGATTTTACAGCAATTTTCAGATGTTAAATTTTAAAATATATTCAGAAGGCATCACTGCTGTGCGTCTTTTCTGCACAAGTGTTCTGGCTAGAGTAGAATGAGTTACTTCAATGCAGACTAAACAATCGTATGGCAAGTAAATCTGCTCCCACTAAACACCTTTAAAGTATTTGACAGTGGATGGGAGATGAGGAAGTTTATGAATAATCTGCAGTAACAAGCTGTGTTTGTCCTTTTAACAGCACTGAAGAAGCAAGGAGGTACCAGTCATAATTCTTTCACTATTGCTGACACAGGATGAGAAAACTATCTTCTGCCTGTTTAAGGTGAAATCTGTTGGAAGCTGTATCTCATTTTAAAAAAATAGTGCTTAGTGTTGCTGTTTCTGAGACAATGTAAAATAGATGCAAATCAATACTATTTATTAAAAATAACAACAGATGGACTAGTTAAGTTGCAAACAAAACCCCTGAATACATCATGTAAGTACATCTTATTTTTGTGCCTTCAGCCATTTTAAAAACCTTTGGGTGCTGCTGCCATCCTGCACGTCAGTCCTCCTGCATTGCTTTTCCCTTCTGCTGCTGTTGCTTTGCTGTTCTTCCTTCTGTCTACCTTCCCATACTTAAACACAGCTGCTCTAGAGATTCCTCCCACCTCTGCCCTGCGCTGACATGAGGGAGGGCACTGCTCTCAGAGGAAATCTCTTGCATGGTAACAACCCATGCATTGTTACCTGTTTCATCTTTTTTCTGTGGTCTTTCTTTTTTCCTTCTTCCTATATCTTGATCTTTATCCTAAACAAACAAGAAAATACTTTTGGTAAACTTATTGTGAGAGTGCTACGCCATCTTTTCCATTGGTTTGATTTCCTGGAGGGATCCTGTATGCCCACTGTCTACAGTTGTTTTCTTTTCCTCCTGCTGCCATAGGCTCTTCCTTTTCTCTCCACCTTACCCATTCTATGATTCTGTGAAGGATACAGGGGAATCTCTGGTGGCGAGGGGGTTACTGCCTCAATCTCAGCTCTTTCAGCAGCTTAGGGGCATGTTGGGTACCTCTTGAGGTGCATATTAAAGAAACGCTTTTTTTGTTCCTGGGTTAGAAAGAAAATGTTTATTGGGATTATCAACAGGCATCCCTTCAGCCCGGGAAAGAGCTGACTTGATTCCTATGCTATAAGCCTGAATTCAAGCACTTATCTGGTATTTTACCCTTAACCTGTGTGCTGCATGTCCTCTCCATCTGCATGTTTGACATGACTTCGGTGTGAACAGGTGTGGGTGTGAGCATCTTCTAAACTCAGGAAAAAGGATGGGAGTTTTTATTGAACTGTTTGGAGGCTGATGTCCTGTCCTAGGTACTCTGTACAGCACCAGTGGGATCCAGGTGAGGCATGACTAAGACTAAAGTGTAGTATTAGAGGAGGAAAAAAATTAGGATGGTGTGTTTTTAACAACAATTGGCATATCCTCTATGGATTATGGAACAAAGTCCAGTTTTCCTGAAGTCCAGGACTGGAACATTTATTATGGTACTTCAGGCCTCTTCTTACAAAGGGCTCCTTGAGGAGGAGGAAAGGTGGAGGTTTGGATGCGAGCTGAATTTTGGATAGAGATCAGAGCAAGGACTTTTTACTCGGAGTGTTGGGAATTCTGTCACCTCTTGTGGAGTGTAGTTAAATGCCTTATGAGAGCTGAGCAGACTGAAAAATTTTTAAGGGTGGGAAGAAACTTTGATGTTATGCTGGTGTTAGCCTTATGTCTTTAACAGCACATTTAAAAACACTTAACATTTAAAAACACTACTGCTGAATGTAGCCTGCCCAAAACATGGTTTGAAATTAGTTTGTCCTATTGACATTTTTAAGTGTGGGTTTGTGCTGCTTTGTTGCCTGTTGCTGCAAAAGAAACCCACACTTGCAGGTGAATACATCTCCTAGAACTGAAGATCACTTTTTCCTGTAACTTATGCTCCATTTCACGATCCCTCAAAGCAAAGGTCACTTAAACAATAGTGGCAGTAAAAGAGAAATCCAACATTGTAACATCACGTATAAAATACTGCTCTCTTGGCCTTGCACAGACGTACTTTGAAGTAGGAACAATAAGGCATCTTCTGTAGTATGTTTCAGTCCCAAGAGGAGGTATCTAGGGCTTAAAAAATTCCATGGTTGTGTAAAATTTATATTAACCCCTCCAACTAGTTATTTTGACTCTAAGTCCATATAATTTAAATGCTTTTGAAAGTAACCTTTGAGCAGTATCCATTGCAGCAGCATCACAAGGCAAGCCAGCTGGCTGCAGGCACCTAAGACGGGAGATCTCGCACGGAAGAGGAAGTTACAGCAAAGCAAGCAAGATGCTCTCATGTCCATCTCTGTGAACTCCTGGGGACTATTTACATCAAATTATCTGTTAGATTTCTCTTCCTTAATGTAATGCTTAATTAAGCCTCTGGAATCTCTGTTGCAAACACACAATAATTCACAACACAGGCATCACAGGGACATGAAAGGTGCCCAAGTTGCCTGTGTGTCTGTGCACATCACCCTCTCGCGTGTTGCAAATGCTCCCTGTACACTGGCCCATTAATTATACTTCTCCCTTGAGGATTACTGGTAACTCCTTTCCCAAAAGTTGCAGAGCAAGGCATGGCAGTGTCAGGCTTCACTGGACCCCTTCTGCTCTGGGTTCCATAGGGAAATACTACACTTGTTTTGCTGAAGGGAAAAAGGGGAGGCCAGTAAGGTTTAAATGGCCAGAGGTGGTATTGAAAGCTTGGCTGGAGCCAGACAGACTGCACTGTTTCATCTGTTGGGTTGTGTTGCCCTCCTCTGATCTATTCACAGATCTTAGGTTTTGGACATGGAGAACGATTGGATGGTCATAGTGTGCACACTGAGACTTCATGACTGTCAGCTGGGTTAAATGAGGCCTCCTGGAACTCTGCTAAATGCCAGAAAGACTGATATTGTCCTGGTATTGCAGCAATGAGAAGTTCCAGGTTTCTGGCTGGTCGTGTTGGGTTAAAGATTAGGTCACATCTGTGAACGCAGTGTGAGGTGGCAGAGGGTGTGGTGTCTGCAGACCGACTGGAGCCTTTAATGAGCCTGGCTGAGTGCTTACACTTGGTGCTGTACTCAGGTTTTCTCAGTCTAACTCTGTTTCACTGTAACAGGACCCGACAGACAGCTCAGGCTGAGAGCTCAGCTGGGATGGGCTATTTTCTTATATCTTTGCTACAGTAAAACTCTCACACGTTTGACATTTCTATCATGCTTTACTGAATTTGTGATTATAAAGATAATTTACAATTAAGCAATTAAATAAACAATAAGTTAAAACACAATACATTTATACATAGTATTTCAAAGAGCTCAAAAGACTATCCGGTTCCAATACATTAAGACTTTGAAACAACATTAAGAGTCAAAGTGTATCCACGCCTATACTTATCATTGTAACAAGTGTGAAGACTCCCAACAGTGTACATTTTTGGTTACAGTCCCTGTATACGCACAAGACCAAGTGAAATGCTCAAGCAATTGCACGATTGAGAAGAGCACTACACAAGACAGGCACAAATGATGTGCTGGAAGCTGCCTGGGGAATACGGGTTTTACCTCTAAACGGAATTGACACTTGGGACAACAAATGGAAAGCGTTAGCATGCTTTCTGGAGCACAGGTGTGATACCCTAAGGGGAGTGAGTCTTCATGTCAGTTACTTAACACTGTAGTTTCACAGATGTTTCAGGTTAGTGCTGTCTAGAGAAATACCCCACCATTTTCCAGCCATTTGTCCCTGTGCACATCTCACACCACCCTTGAGTCAGTGCAAAGTGCTTTGTGCATTCGCTGAGTGAACCATCCAGGGAAAGTAACTGAGCTTAATGCTAACCCGGCAATTGGACATAAAAGAGCACTAGCTGTAGTTCCTGATTTCCCTG